TTGCTGAAGAGGGTTTTTTTTTTTTTGGTCCTAAACCTTCCTCCAAAATGCCCTGCCTAAAATACTTCCCCGCTCTCATTGATCCATATGCTAATATTATTTTTGTTGTTGTTTCTGTTGTTTATATCCCACTTTTTCTCTAAAAAAGAGACTCAAAGCGACTCACAATTAATCCAATACAGTATAATCAAGACATACAAATATACAAACGTGACAATGGAATTAAACATGAGCAATATTCAAAATAAACAGTTAAAACCAGTTTAAAAATTATTCATAGCTAAAACTGCAGCACCTCCTGACTTGATTGTGCTTTTCCTGCATGGCAGAGGGTTGGACTAGATAGCCCATGTGGTCTCTTCCACCTCTATTATTCTATGATTCTATGTTCTCACTGGTTATAACATGGTTGACTATGGTGTTCAGCAAGCCTGCCATATTTTCTCAATGTAAGGTAAAGGTAAAGGTTTCCCTTGGCTTTAAGCCTAGTTGTGTCTGAATCTGAGGGTTGGTGCTCATCTCCATTTCTAAGCCAAAGAGCCACCGTTGTCCATAGACACCTCCAAGGTCATGCGGCCGGCATGACTGCATGGAGCACCGTTACCTTTCCGCAGAAGCGGTACCTATCGATCTACTCACATTTGCATGTTTTCAAACTGCTAGGTTGGCAGAAGTTGGCTCACCCCACTCCCCAGATTTGAACCATCAACCTTTCAGTCAGCAAATTCAGCAGCTCAGTGGTTTAACCCACTGCGCTAAAGGGGGCCCTAGTTATAAATGGGTAAACAAACCCATTTATAAAACATATATTGGTATATCTTTATAGGAAGAGATCATTGCTTACATATGCTCTTCAGTGCTGGTGGGCTGGTGAAGTGTTTGCATGGTAGTGCAGCAAGATAGTATTACAGTAGAGTCTCGCTTATCCGACATAAACAGGCCGGCAGAATGTTGGATAAACAAAAACGTCGGATAATACCGAGTCTCCTACTGTTACTGGTCTGATGCAGTGCTAGACACCTAGAATACTAACAAGGACTCAAAAGGTTAAGGCAAGGCCATACTTCAGGGCTAGAGTGGCCCAACAGGAAGTGCCTGGATCTAGAAGAGGAGCGTGGAAATCCCAGAGGGAAGAACAGAGGACACTTCCACTTCCGGTCCTGCCTCTTTTACCCTTTCCTCCCTCCTCCTCCTCCTTGTCTTGCCTTTTTCACTTATTGGGAATGGTGAGAGAGTTGGGGAGCGCTCCTTTAATTGAAGAGGAAATGCTGGAGGAAAAGAGGGGCGTCAGATAAGAGTATCAGATAAGACGGAATGTCGTATAAGCAAAGGTCAGATAAGCGAGACTACTGTATTTGGTTAATATGCTGTTAGTATTACTTTGTTAGAGCTAAATGACTTTCAGTGCCTAGATTTGTTCATATTAAAAGTATTTTTCTATCAAAACATTTCAGCAAAAGGTTAAATGACAATTTATTTCCAATCTTGACATATGGCAGATATGATCTCTGGACAGGAAAGATTAAAATTAAACCTTCTAAACCGCTGTGCGTTTGTCTCTTGCAGTATCACTCTGAGCCTGTATGTGTGTGAGCACACAAGAGAACTGTATCTTGGATCTAGAATAGATTTCTCTAATTACTGTGTTAAACAATTTTGAATTAGTAGTTCAGAATGTAGCATTGGCACTCTTCAAAGCCATACAGTTGGAGTGTGTTGAACCATCCCAGTCTAGCTTAGGTGCGGGGTGAGGCTTCTAAGTGTAGATTGCTCTTCCCGATGTCATGTTGTTCAGGAAAATAACTTGATGCCTACAGATGATTCCAACATTTAGGATGCTCAACGCAGGCATATATTAAATATGAGTGGTTGGTTCTCGTAGTAGTGATTGGACATTTCAGGGAGCATTTAATCCTAATCCAATTCCACGATCATTGTGTGCACAATCTACTTCGACACATTAAGTTCTACACTTGACCTTTATGTAAGGGAGCAGCGTAATGCGATGTAATATATACACTCTAATATTTAATATAGTTCATTCCTGGTCCCTGATATGGAACTCCCAGCAGTCTGCCTTCTACAAATTGGCCTTCTACATAGAATCATAGAGTTGGAGGAGACCTCGTGGGCCATTCAGTCCAACCCCATTCTGCCAAGAAACAGGAAAATTGCATTCAAAGCACCCCCGACAGATGGCCATCCAGCCTCTGTTTAAAAGCCTCCAAAGAAGCAGCCTCCACCACACTCAGGGGCAGAGAGATCCACTGCTGAACAGCTCTCACCGTCAGGAAGTTCTTCCTAATGTTCACGTGGAATCTCCTTTCCTGTAGTTTGAAGCCATTGTTCCATTGCATCCTAATCTCCAGGGTAGCAGAAAACATGCTTGCTCCCTCCTCCCTATGACTTCCCCTCAAATTTTATACATGGCCATCATGTCTCTCTCAGCCACTCTTCTGAAGAATAAACATGCACAGCTCTTTAAGCCACTCCTCATAGGGCTTGTTCTCCAGACCCTTGACCCTTTGAGTCGCCCTCTTTCTCCCTTCAATTGCAGTGCTCAGAATTGGACACAGTGTGATTCCAGGTAAAGTGATCTGACCAAGGCAGAATAGAAAGGGAGCATGACTTTGGTATTTGGTATTATTTTAGAATAATACCAAATTCGGTTCCTCCTGCTTGGTGTCAGAACTGCCACTATACTTCTATATTGTTTGTTTGGATGTCTCATATATGATTTGTGTTCTCAGTTTCAAGAGAAGTCGGATATGGGTTTAAAAACATCCACTGTCACATGCAGTCTCTGTGGGACTAAGAAAGTATTGATATCTAAATTAAGACTTGTTAGTGCTGTAATGTGTATTAATGGGCTGTCTTGGCAGACAAGGTAAAGCATTCATTTACTCGAAAGCCTAACAATCGTTACGGTTTGATTTTTTCTTTGCCTACGCTTTCATGTTTATGTTTCTGTTCCTGGGGAGAAACTTCCATAAGTGATGTGCTGCAGCTTACCAAGGTCCTGTCATTCTGCTGTATATTTATTAGGCAAACCATAAAATTGAAAGGATAACAAATACCATATTTACTTTAGTGTAACGCTCACCTTTTTTTGCCTAAATTACATTGCCAAAATTGAGGTGCACATTACATTTGATGCTGCATTGGAAGTGCACACATAAACCCACCAGTGCCCAATGGATGACCCAGTCATTCCTGCCACTTCACCATAGATCCTGCTTCCCAGGCAGCCCTCGAGGTCTCTTGCCCGTCCTCCAGGCCCAGTCCCATGAAGTTCAGTCACAAAGCCTTCAACCCCGCGCCCCCTCGGCAACTAGAGTGTCCCAGATATCCTCATTCATGCTGCCTGCTTCCCTAATGTACTATGCCTGCACAGTGGGATGCATTACATTCAAAGACAAATCCATTTTTTGTAATGTGCACTTTCAAAATTCAATGGCACATTATACTCATGTAAGTACGGTACCCTTGCAGTATAAAATGTGAAGCTAAATCTTTCTGACACTGAACTTTTGCTGTGTTGTTTTCTCTTTATTGCAGCAAAGACAAAGAGTGGGTTAAACCACTTAGCTTTTGAACTTGCTGACCAAAAGGTCAGCAGTTTGAATCCGGGGAGCAGCGTGAGCTCCTGCTGTCAGCCCTAGCTTCTGCCAACCTAGCAGTTCGAAAACATGCAAATGTGAGTAGATCAAAAGGTACTGCTCTGGTGGGAAGGTAATGGCACTCCATGCAGTCATGCCAGTGGCTACATGACCTTGGAGGTGTCTATGGACAATGCCGGCTCTTCGACTTAGAAATGGAGATGAGCAGCACCCTCCAGAGTCGGACACGACTAGACTTAATGTCAGGGGAAATCTTTACCTTTTTGTCTTTACTATATATATATATAAGGTAAAGGTTTCCCCCTTGACATTAAGTCTAGTTGTATCTGACTCTGGGAGTTGGTGCTCATCTCCATTTCTAAGCCAAAGAGCCGGCGTTGTCCATTGATGTCTCCGAGGTTATGTGGCCGACATGACTGCATGGAGTGCCATTACCTTCCCATCGGAGTGGTACCTATTACCCTACTCATAGTTGTGTGTTTTTGAGTTGCTACGTTGACAGAAGCTGGGGTTAATAGCGGGAGCTCACCCTGCTCCCCAAATTCGAACTGCTGACATTTCAGTCAGCAGCTCAGCGGTATAACCCACTACGCCACCAGGGGCTCCACACACACATATATACGAGGGGTATTTTTTAAGTAAAGTCCATTTTGTTGTAGACACTAGTAGTTCGCGCGCATACCGCAATGAGTGCGTGCGTCGTGTACCGGCATGCCTTGGGAATAACTGTGCTCAGTTTCCGCTCTGTAGCTAACCTGTACGGTTCTGTTCTGTACTTTAAAAATGTTTAAGACTATCAACTCACCCGCCGCATGTGAGGTTCGCTCAGTGATATGGTTTTTGTCAGCAAGAAACCTGCCTGCTGCAGAAATTCATCGACAGATTTGTGAAGTGTACGGTGATACTGTTATGAGTGAAAAGTGCGTAAGTGGGTACGACAATTCAAAGATGGCCGTGACAACGTCCATGATGAGGACCGCTCCGGTCGCCCTTCTTTGATTACAGACAATTTGGTGGCTTCAGTTGAAGCGAGGATTTATGAAGGGGGTATTTTAAAATTGGTTCAGAGGTATGATAAGTGTTTGAACAAACTTGGCAACTATGTCGAAAAATAGAGTGAAGTATGTACTTTCTGAAAATAAATTTACTTTTTTGAAATAAACTTTCATTGTGTACTTATGTTCCAACGGACCTTACTTAAAAAATCCCCCTCGTATATATGGAGAGGAATATATTTGCATGTATAACTGTGAAGTCCCTGTTAACCATCTGACTATACTACATTTGTCTGTGCCAGACTTCTTTGTTTTGTTTCAAAACGTGATAAATACATCAATTAACCAATCAGTTAGTTCATTAAGTTGTTCTTCTCTGTCCTAGGTTGGAACAAGACATTAAGAAGTTGAAGGCGGACCTGCAGGCAAGCAGGCAGATTGAACAGGAGCTGCGTAGTCAGATCAGTTCTCTGACCAGCACAGAGCGAGGGATTCGGTCTGAAATTGGACAGCTTCGGCAAGAAAATGAGCTGCTTCAGAATAAGTAAGTTTAGCCCCACCCTGCAATATGTTTGGCTTACTGTGGTTGCTTTCTACACTTCTAATCTTTTTTTTTTTCTTTTTTTAAAAAAACCTGTAAAATATCTCTGTGTTCAATCTGGCCCATATTAAGTTCTGCTGAGCTCCATTCATTGCTGTCAAAGATTGAAAGGCCCTAATTTTAGCTTGATTGTGGTATTAATTTTGCTCCATGTCTTATACCTTGTAGGTGGAAATGCTAAAACTGTTGGAAATAGCAACCTTTCAAGCACCTGCTAACTGTTTGTGAATGTGTATAATTGTTAACCTAGATTGTATGTACATTTTGGTTTGCCTGTACCTCTTTGGTGTGGGAGATGCTTCAGACACAAGACTCCATTTTTGTTATATAGTATGGTTTTAGACCTCAATGGAGCTAGATTGCAGTTTGTCTCCTTTCAGACTTCAGTGAGTACAATTACATAGTTTGGACTATATATGCTTAAAGACATTGGACTATGGACTAGTTTGCTGGATATATACAAGAAGTTTGTTAGTAAACCTGACATGTTATTTCTAAAAAAGACTACTTTGGTTTTGTCTCTTGAGTCCATATTTTAACTAAGAGGTTTCAAGGGAGTGTATATTTTTGGGCAATTGCAACCTCAAATTCTACTTCAAAAAAAACAACAATCCTCTGCTAACCCAATATATTTTTGTAGTGGCATGTCTTTATCCTTGGCAGTTTAAAGACTTGGTTCTTCAGTTTAACAGCTGAGTTACCTGTGTGCCATTATGTGAATGCTTATGAATATCACTTGTCCAGAGGGGTGACTTCTAACAAGGTCATGCCTTTCTTAACTAGTGGTTTACAAAAGATGGTCTCCATTAGTTCATGGAGATTCACATTTCCTAAACAGATGTGACCTCTTTTTTACCTTTTTGATAAGGTTATGGTGCACTTATTTCCAATAGGTTGTGGAGTTTCCAGTAAAAACAGCATTTTGTCTATGCTTTTGCCTTTGTTAGGAAGAGTGAAGTGAATGTTTTAGAATTGTTTTCAGTGTGGGGCATTGTATTTACATTTTTAATAACTAATCACAGTTGATCTGTATAACGGCTATATGATCCCATTTAAAATGGGGTTTATTCTCTTTTCCAGCAAGGAAAAATATCAGTTCAATATTTAACCCTTGCATAGCATAGATTTCCTTCCATTCCATTCCAGCAGGCAAAATAAGTGCCTTCCTCCCCCATCTCTTGCTGAAATAAGTAGATTAGACTTGAATGATCCACAAAACAAATAGCGTTTCAGCCGCTATTCCCCGTAAACCTTCCTCGAAGTGATAAATTTAGGTTAGCTGGCTAGAAAATGTGACTCAATTTCTTAGGCTCCTTCTACACTGCCATGTAATCCAGATTATCAATGCAAATAATCCACATTATCTGCTGTGAGCCCGATTATGTGAGTCTACACTGCCACATAATCCAGTTCAAAGCAGATAATCTGGATTTTATATGGAACTGTAGAAGGGGCCATAGACTCCCCCTACCTCACGTTATCTGTCTGTTTGTCAATTAGCTTTTATCAATCCTATTCTTCTTCCAAGGGGATCAAGGGGAATAATGAAAGCTTTACACCTCCTGAACCGAGTGGAGGTACATCAACTACACTAGTCTGTGTAATAATCTAAGTCTCCAAGTAATCCAGAATAGTTAGAGGGTATGATTTGGCCCATTCGTGTACACAGAAATCTCAACAAGGATGTTAAAAGATTATCCCTGTTTCCATCTACATTGAACCTTTTGTTATTCATCAATGCGTGTATCCAGCTTGCCTTAAGGGATCTAAGTGGGCATCTGCTATTTTTTAGTAACCCATATTATGGTAATACATTTATTGGGTCAATCAGAGAGACACCAAATTCTCTCTACAAGTTTTCAAAACCATACATGTCTTCAGCTAACTATTCTAAGTGTCCCTGTTCCCTTTGTTTTCATACTCACCTGTTTTTTGACATCCTGGTTTCCTCCAAGGGGGAATCCAGCTCTCCCCCCCCCCCCCATTTGCTTCTTCATGGTCTCAATGCAACTCACGCCCCTTCGACAGCCGGTTCTTTGACTGCAGGCACCTTACTCTCACCTCATTTGGTATGCTGCTCCTTCCAACCCTTGAGGGGGGTGTGTGGGTGGAACTCAAAAGTCCTGTCGTGCACCCTAATCTGTCTGCCTCTGAAATCCCGGATGAGCCCCCAACATATGAAATGGGAACTCTGCACATTGTCAGAGGTTCCCTTCACTTCTGCTCTCAAGGGGGCAATGCAAGGATAGACACATGGACAAGTTGAGTCAAGTGAAGGAGGCATTATTTGTTGGCCAAGCAAATGGCTACAGCTAGCTTGAAGCATAAAAAAGCTGTTGCACCCATAAATGGATGAAACAACACACATTTGATTGGTTTCACACTTTGTCTTTTCTTACTGGCTTCTTCTTAGCTTATTATATTCTAATTGGTTCTGTATTTCATGCACGCAAACAGCTAAGATGGAAACTTTACTGGAACTTCATGTCTCTAGTGTTGGCCCTGGTTTGCTTGAGCAGCAGCCAAACACGGCTCTAATCTCTTAGTTTCTCACACAGAAAATTGGGGAAGGAGCTGTTTTTCTAAAGACTGCAGCATCTGCTCTTTTCTTTTAGGACCACTCCTGTTATCCATTTTCAGACTACAGCCCCTACAATAGAAAGAGCCTGTAAGGTAAAAATGACGGTGGGAAAGAAATATTTGAATATTCCAATACATAACACTATAGTAATATGTGTTCAGGTGCCTATACACATCTGAAATGACCACCTCAACACAGTTCGGAGAGTATAAATATCTAAAATATCCAATCAGAGGGAATCTTTTATCCCATGACCATTCCTAGACACCACATCCTCCATTGTCACACTTTCACAGAGTAAATTTCCTGGAAGAGAGTATCCATAAGCTTCCATTAGCACAGGATGAGTACAGAAGACAAGAAATATTAACTGAACAGGCTTTTTAAGACATTTGCTGGTGATGGTTTTCCCCACATATATTGTATACAAGAAAATGTTCTAATTTTTACTTTCTTTACAGATTGCATAATGCTGTACAAATGAAACAAAAAGATAAGCAGACTATTGGGCAATTGGAGAAAAAGTTAAAAGCAGAGCAGGAGGCACGAACTTTTGTAGAAAAGCAGTTGATGGAAGAAAAAAAAAGAAAAAAATTAGAAGAAGCCACTGCTGCCCGCGCGGTTGCATTTGCTGCTGCTACCAGGTACTTGTTTTCCTTCTCTTCTGTCTTCATTGTTTAAATCCTATCTCTTATCTCTCTCAAAGCATAGAGGTTTCTGTTGGAATGTTTCCGAAATGATCAACAGTTACCAAGATCTCAATAGCTGCTTATTGGAAAAGAAACAAACACCAGTCCTAGATTTAGGCTGTGAATCTTACATAGAATACTAGCTGTCCCCAGTCACACATTGCTGTGGCCCACTCTGGTGAAATGGAAAAGAAAGAACAGGTTTCTAATATATTTAATTTCACAATGCTTGTGGGTATACAATATCTGTTGTTATTCCATTGTTTGTGCAGATATAGAAATTATCTGGTTTGCCGACTCTAGAACATGAAACATATAATTGTGCATGTGAGAAGCAATCCATGTCTAGATCTGAAATTCAGAATCGTAAAGATTGGCCCTGAGCTTTGTTGATGGTGATAGCAAACACCAATCAAATTGGGGGTTGCAATCTCTAAAATTGAAATGGCATATCCGTTAGAATCATAGAATACAAAAATGAGGACATCATCAAGCCAGAATACCAAGGCAGATAATCCAAAATGTCTGCTTTGTAGTGGATTTTATGTCAGTATAGACTTAGGGCCCTTCCTTACAGCCATATAACCCAGGACATCAAGGCAGACCATCCACAATGTCTGCTTTGAATTGGGTTATCTGAGCCCAGACTGCCATGTAACCCAGTTCAATGTGGATCATATACAGGTGTGTGGAAGAGGCCTAAAAAAAAAACATAGGGCACTCAAATGAGCCCCAGTGAAGTAAATAATAAACATGCAGTGGCTTTCCTGAGGTTGGGGGTGGCATTGGAGGAGGGAGGGAGGCCCACCCTCCATCTGATGAGACAATGATTGACAGCGAGGGCTTTCTTAAAAGGGGGACGGCATTGAAATTAGGGAAACCAAATGGAGGGGGCATGATGCACAAGGCTGCACAGCCAAATAAACACACAGAGCCCAAGAGGCAAGGCCTGCCTTACCTGCCCAAAGAGGCCTGGCTGAGTGTGTGAGTGGCTGAGGCATGCTCCCTCTCCCTTGGGCACAACTTTGGGCTGAGGCGGAGAAGCCGCATGGAGGGGTGAAGGCAAAGGGCACCCCCAAGGCCTGCCCCTGCAATCCTGTCCCCTTCAGGGCAGAGCGAGCACCTCCGAAATGAAGAAGGACAATAATAAACTATATTCACAAAATTAACGCTATGGTTAACGATACATCTCAATTCCAAAGCAATGTCACATGAAATAATTAATTCAAAATGAAACTAAATAAAAATCTATGAAATTTCAATTTAGCAATGCATTCAGAAACATTGGAATAGAATTTTAAAATATATAGTATAGCGTGTGTTGCTTTGACGTCCAGAAGATGGCACTGTTTTTGAAAACAAACATATATTACCTGCCACAGGTATGGAATCTATATAATAGTATTATTTGATTTTTTAGTAGGCATGTGAAAACATAAAAAACATGTGCCTATTCGAATGCTGCATTGTGTCAGAATTTCAAAGTATTCTGTGAAGAATTTTGGGAGATTTAAGGTTTTGAACAAACGAACATTTACATTTTTATTTATATAGATGGTTTCAGGAAGAGTGTTATTCTCTGTTTTGGGAATGTCTGTTTTGTTTTGGAATTTCTGAGAAATTTTCCTCAATGACGCTTTTCCCATTTACAGATCACAATGACTGAACAAAGTCTCTGAGATCCATGTACTATGTGCTATACTGAGAGCTCTGTGATGTTTTGTATTTCTGTACAAATTCCGATGTATGGTTTATATATTTATATTTTCCAATACACTAGTAATTGTTGATATGGGCTACACAATTTGAGACTCTGTGTTTGGATTACATTTTTGTACTCTCTGCTACGTTGGGAATAAATATCCTTGTGCATGAAAATAGCATGTTGGTGAAAGACTAGGTTGATGTTTTCTTGCCCATTGCTAGTCTTCAACATGAAAAAGTGTATGTTTGCTATATAGAAGGTGTACATCCCATTCCATTATAGTTTGAAATGTGACTCAACCAACATGATTCAACCAAGTCTCTACACTGGCTCTTTATTGTTCATGGCAACAGTACTGAAATCAGAAGTATTATTAATATACAAATGCATAGAAATTAGAGGATTTTAATAACTGTTAAGTGTGGCACACTATTCACGGAAAGGTATTTTAGCACTTGTGCAGTCAGGCTTTTTTCTTTTGACAGTTTTTCTGACCTAGAGCATTAAGAAGTCTAGACTTACCTGTGGAGTGTAGGACAAAGGAAGTGGCGTGCAGAAGGGATTTTCCCCTCCAACTTCAGAGGGAAGTTGCCAGTTTTCAAGGAAAAGAAGCTCACATTTGAAATGTGGCTTCCAATAACTAGCTGAGGAGTATGCGGTTCACAAAAGCATTTGTATCCCACTGACTGTCATTTTTTTGATGTTGTTACTGAGCTAGAAAGAGCAAATGTGGCACCTTTTTCATTTCTGCAGTGTTGTGACACTTCTGCGAAACTTAAACGTTGCATAGACTGAAAGTTACTTCTCTCTCTGTTCTCCTTTTACTTGGCAGAGGCGAATGCACCGAAACATTACGAAATCGCATAAGAGACCTGGAGACAGAGTGCAAGAAGTTAACAATTGACATAAAGGTGAAAGAAGATCAGATACGAGACCTAGAAATGAAAGTTCAGGTAACGAGAAGACACCAAGCCTTCATCTTTCTCATTGGTGTTCATAGGCATACTGGGGTGACCTTCTGTCCAGGACAGAGTGAATATTCTTGGGGTGTTTATCAATAAGATTTTTAGTGTTTGAGAAGTGCATAGGATTGTCCGTTCTTTTCTCATCCTAAACCAAGCTGATCTAGCTAATTTATTTTGTTTGTTATGCTACCATCTTTTTTGAGGGAGACGTTCCTGCTTGCTTTCTGTGAAACATCGCTTAGTCATCATTTTACGAGGGGCATTCGTTAAAGATTTCCCCTGACCACTTCCTGTGGACTGAGAGCAATGAAACTTGGCACGGTTATGAGTCCTTCTCTCCATTGGTGCGACCTAGGGACACACCCTCTCTCATCATTTTAAGCAACTGCAAACACTTCACTTGTCGACAGGTTGCTCCAAAAGCCACATTGTCACTTCAGAAATCAGAGTCTCGTCATTTGAGAAATGCTTGCCCTTCAAAAATAACTTCATTGTTGGAAAGAGGGAGAAGTCTGATGGTGTGAAGTTGGGTGAATCAGGGTAGAATTTCAAAGCCATGGGAGCATGCTTCCATTTGGGCTACATGTGAGTTGTGAACTGGTGCATTGTCTTGCAGAAGGCGAACACCTTTGGTGAGCATGCCACATCTCTTGGTTTTAATGGCCTCCCACAATTTTCACAGCAGTGAAGCTTAGTATGCCCCAGTGATCATGGTCCCCTTTGCTAGGAAATCCATTACTACTACTCTGTGCTGGTCCGAAAATACTGTGAGCATGACCTTGCTTGCCAAGAGTTGGGCATGCGCCTTCTTTGGAGGTGGTGAGTCATGATGCTTTGACTGGACGTTAATCTCAGGATCAGAGTGATGGACCCAGCTTTCATCCTGTGTGATCAGTTTGTTTAAAAAGTCCTCCTGGTTTTCATGGCACATAATTGTCAATAGAGCCAGAGAGCATTTGACTCGTTCCTGCTTCTGGAAAGGTGTGAGCAGCTGGAGGACCCAGCAAGCAGATACCATATGCATGTGGACATGGTCTTGGATGATTTTTTTCCATGGACCCCACACTAATCTTGACATTTTGGGCTAGGTGGCGAATGGTTATGTGGCTATTTTCCAAAATTGTGACCTCCACTTGCTGGATGGTATGTTCATCAATTGCAGAGGGGGGTCGCCTTGGAATTCAAGCTGTTTCCACTGAAGTCCGACTACATTTGAATTGACGATTCCAGTTCTTGACTCCATTATATGATGGGGAGTCCTCACCATAAACCACTTTCATCTTATTTAAGTCTCCTTTGGTGTGCAGCCTTTCAAGTCAAAGAACTTGAGGACTGCTTTGGATTCCGCTGGGCACATTAACAGACCTCACACCACTTCAGCACCTGTAAAATCAAGACTGTTATCAGCTCCAAGTTGTAAATTGGCATGTAACCTATAGAGACTTACATCATTACACATGTGCAGTTTCAGCATCCTGTGATACATAGAAGTGGGTCAGGGGAAATCTTTAATGAACACCCCTCGTATTTTACTGCACAACATCAGTTTGCTACTGAAGAACCAGTTGGCACCTTTGACATCCAGAGTGATTGATTTTATTTCACTAAAGAATGTATGTGAGTCTATGAGGATAGGCCAGTTATCACACGTTGTCTTGACTACTTATATGTGTGACTGACTGATTGAGAAGCAAGATCGTTTGTAAAACAGGAACTTTGCAGTGCATTAATTTGTTCCTCTGAGGACTAGGGTTTGTCAGTGATGTCCTTCTTGGAATAACAACTAGAACTTCATATCCTTTATTTAGCCCCTATAACACGATAGATTGCAAGTACAACAGCTCAGATAACTATGGCTTAAACACACACATACACACACACAAAGTGGAAAATTGCCCACAAAAAAGTACAGCATCAGAAAATCCTGTTTTGAAAAATTTTCTACATCGAAACACATTTGTCATGTGTGCATTTTAGGTATAAGTGCAAAACCTCATGTTATGTAATAAATGGCAATAGGTGTTCCCAAGTGGACCCAGAAGCAATATGTTGGCTAGGAAGTTCCATTCCATTTCCATCTAGAGAAGAACCCTATAGTTGACCTAGTCCTGATCCATTCTGAAGGGGTTTGTCACCTCATGGTCTGTGTTTCTGCCCCATTTTCCCTTTTAGGATCTTGCCTTATTTCAAAACACATTCCCACTTCCCTTGCAAAATATTTCTTTCTTTTCAGTCTTTCACATTCATCTAAAATAGAATTTTATTTATTTATTTACACAGTATTTATATTCCGCTCTTCTCACCCAGAAGGGGACTCAGAGTGGATCACAGAACACATATACGGCAAACATTCAATGCCATTATACAATGACAAGATAGACAACTGTACATAGATAGAGATATATAGGCTTTCTCATCTTTAGCATCTTGAAGGCTGTTCTCGGTTCCAGCTGTCGCTCCATTTTCCCTGCCGAAGAGCTTTGTTCATAAACTTCCTCCTTGATCGAATTGCTGGCATTTTTCTGGCATTTCCTTATGGGTGCCTTAAATACCTCCCCGCATTTATATATACACATTGCTGATTCCGAGACTGCTAGGTAGGCAGAAGCTGGGCTAAAGGCCAGGAGCTCACCTTGACCTGGGCTACGAACTGTGAAGCTTTTGGTTGGCAAGATTTACTGCAGCTGGTGGTTAACCTTCTGTGCTAAAGCCTGGCCCATAGTAATAGAGACAGAATGCTACCCTGTTTCCCCAAACATTAGGCCTACCCTGAAAATAAAATCTAGCATGATTTTTCAGAATTTTTGAATATGCTCAAAATATAAGCACTACGTCAAATAATAAGCCCTAGTTACAGGTAATAAAAATCAATTTAAACAGTGTCCATGCAGCTATATGTAGGCCATAATGAATCTTTTGGAACAAAATTAATATAAGACCCTTTATTTTCAGGAAAACAGTAGCTACTCCTACTGACATTGCATTATTTGTTTGGTTTTAAGGCAGTTCATTTAGTTTCTATCTTGCAATTTGCTTATGATGCATATTAACTCCCTTGAGGTTTTGTTGAATGCGAAATATGGATCTTTTAAATAAACTCATTCCAGTTTTCAATCCTTCCTGAGGAGAGAGGGCATGATTAAAAACAGAAAAGGCGAGAAGGTAGCCTTTATTTCAAGAGTGATGTTGGCGGAGAGGGTTAAGCACTTCCCTTCCATAAAGAGCCCTGAATCTATTAAGAATACTTGCACAATGTTCTTTATCAAAACTCTTACAGAAAAATGTGCATAAAAATAGATTCTGCTTTTCCATCTATTTCTGGACCAACTTTCTGTTTTCCTTCACTTATCATTCAGTAGATTTGCTGTGAAACACATCTGCATTTTCTGTGCTTTTCCTCTGCTTCTGTTGGATAGAAAGCCCACATAATCAAACTGTCTGGGGAAAAGTAGCACAACTCTTGATTTGATATGCAGAGAGCTATGAAACAGAAAAGAATGTTTTCTTAATCTCGAGTTTTTCATTTTGCGTGTCAAAAAGAAAAAAGTTTTTGACTTTGTGGATTTGACAGACATATTAAGTAAAGCGCTGGCTCTGGCTCTCTGTCTTGAGTTCTCAAGCACATCCAGCTCTTGAGGCTAAAATGTCTGGAACGAAAAATTTCAATGCATCCCACCCTGAAAAGAAAGCTTGGACACATTAGGGACATAGTAGCACTTGTCGGAAACCCATAAGTATACTCAGGAAATGGAATGTATAGAGAGACAGTAAAACAGTCTCTTCTCATTAGCTAATAGGGGCAACTGAACAAACATGTTGAGCGCCAAGACAAAATTCTTATTTTATTTATTTATTTACGACATTTATATGCCGCCCTTCTAACCCTGAAGGGGACTCAGAGCGGTATATATATATATATATATATATATATATATATATACACACACACATATATATATATACATATATATATATACATATACATATATACACACACACACATACATACATATACATATACATATTGTATTGTATTGTATGTATGTATGTATGTAGTGTTGGAGCCGCCGGTGGCACAGTGGGTCAAATCCCTGTGTCGGCAGGACTGAAGACCGACAGGTCGCAGGTTTGAATCCGGGGAGAGGCGGATGAGCTCCCTCTATCAGCTCCAGCTCCTCATGCGGGGACATGAGAGAAGCCTCCCACAAGGATGATAAAAACATCAAAAATCATCCAGGCATCCCCTGAGCAACGTCCTTGCAGACGGCTAATTCTCTCACACCAGGAGTCACTCCTGACATGACTATATATATATATATATATATATATATATATATATATATATATCAGTATTAAATATTACTATATTGTACTATACCATTATATTGTAATATTATTAGTAATATTACATGTAATATAAATATATAATTATAATATATTATTAGTAGTAGTATTATATTGCATTACATTATAATATTATAAATATTATATGTATATATAATATATTATATTATAAGGTAAAGGTAAAGGTAGTCCCCTGACATTAAGTCCAGTCATGTCTGACTCTGGGGTGTGGTGCTCATCTCCATTTCTAAGCCGAAGAGCCAGCGTTGTCCGTAGACCCCTCCAAGGTCATGTGGCCGGCATGACTGCATGGAGCGCCGTTACCTTCCCGCCGGAGCGGTACCTATTGATCTACTCACATTTGCATGTTTTCGAACTGCTAGGTTGGCAGAAGCTAGGGCTCACAGCGGTAGCTCACGCCGCTCCCCGGAATCGAACCTGCGACCTTTCGATCAACAAGCTCAGCAGCTCAGTCCTTTAAACCACTGCGCCACCGGGGGCTCCTATATTATATTATATTACATTATATTATCAGAATAGCACAGGAGACAAGGTATAACTGTCTTCTGCCCCCCCCCTCTCTTCACTCTGGCCCAGAGCCGCAGTTGGTGCTGGGGGAGGAGTCCCCAACTGATGACATATGCAAGAAATAAGATGGAACTGTTCCCTGGCCCCCTCTCTCTTCACTCTGGCCCAAAGCGGCAGTTGGTACTGGGGAAGGGGTCCCCAAGTGATGGCATATGCAGGAGACAAGATAGAACTGCCCCCTGGCCCCCTTTCTCTTCACTCTGGCCCAGAGCGACAGTTGGTGCTAGGGGAGGAGTCCCCAACTGATGACATATGCAGGAGACAAGATAGGACTGCCCCCTGGCCCCCTTTCTCTTCACTCTGGCCCAGAGCGACAGTTGGTGCTGGGGGAAGAGGTCCCCAACTTATGACATTTTCATGTTGATCCTTAAGCAACACTTAGTTCTTCTTTCCCTCACTGTAGATAATTGTCTGTGGTGCATTCACTTTGCTTTCCCCACCTATTTCAGTGTAAAGACCTTGTTTGTAACAATCCTCCTTCAATTCTCCTCAAAGGAGCTGCGGAAATACAAAGAGAACGAGAAGGATACAGAGGTGTTAATGTCAGCGCTCTCAGCCATGCAGGATAAGACACAGCACTTAGAGAACAGCTTGAGTGCGGAGACAAGGATCAAGTTGGACCTCTTCTCTGCATTAGGAGATGCAAAAAGACAGCTTGAGATAGCCCAAGGTAAGTGGAACTCTTCGGAAAAATGAGGCTAGCCTTTCTTGACTAGTGATAAATTGTGGATGTGTGAAAAGGAAAAGCACTCTCTCAGACACATACGGCACCAGAGGTGGGAAATGCTGTGAAAGTCCTGTCTTTTTGGCTATACTTCCTTAAATGGCAGAGGTATCTCCAAAGCTTCAAATCAAACCCTCTCAAGCTTCGAGGGAGGAAGGATTCTGCAGAAAAGCCACAGCGAGCCCCCAAAGTTTCATGCGTGACCCTTGGGATTCTGAAGTCCCTTGACTGCACAAACTACTGAAGGAATTTTCTTTTGCCCAAAAAGATCTCTCCACAATAAATTTAGCCAGTCTTAGTAAAAAAATGTCTTGACAAAATGTCTCTAGTCTTAGAGCCCATGAAGTGTGTCTGGTTTTGGTTGGCAGAGGAACTCCACCATCACACTATTTACAATTTTCCTTCAAGCAAATCAGGTTTACCTCTGCTTCATCACCAAGTAGTAATTCTAGAGCCTCAGTGGAAACAGAATAGAAAGTACAGGTGTATAATATGTTGTCAAAGGCTTTCATGACTGGAATCACTGGGTTGCTGTGGGCTTTCCGGGCTGTATGGCCATGTTCCAGCAGCATTCTCCCTTGATGTTTTGCCCACATCTGGTGCAAGCATCCTCAGAAGTTGGAGGGTCTGTTGAAAATTAGGCAAGTGGGGTTTATATATCTGAGCAATAATGTTCAGGCTGGGGGAAAGAACAATTGTCTGTTGGAGTCAAGTGTGAATGTTGCCACTGGCCAGCTTGATTAGCTTTGAATGGCTTTGCAACCGCTACCTGCCTGGAGGAATCCTTTGTTGGGAGGTGTTAGCTGGTGTGTTGGGAGAAAGCTGTTAAAATCTAGCCATGTGCTTTCAAGCACTGTTTTGCTTCTGTTTTCACTGGGGTTGGGGGGAGACATCCACAAAGCCCGCTGTGACCCTCGGTGTGGAGGGCAGTGTATTTGATCAGGATTCTATGGTCAAATCTCTACTGCTCAGGAAAATGAATGCAATTCTCTCACATTTTACATTGTATTGTTGTGAGTTTTCCGGGCTATCTGGCCATGTTCAAAAGCATTCTCTCCTGTTGTTATTATTATTATTATTATTATTATTATTAACTTTATTTGTACCCCGCTAGCATCTCCCGAAGGACTTGATGCGGCTTACAAAGGCCAAGGCCTCAAAACAACATAACAATACAAACCTAAAGCAAATTAAAAACAATTAAAGCAGTATTAAACAACAGCAATAAACAATACACCAAGACACAATAAGACTGGGCCGGGCCAGAGTAATGGGTACAGAATTAAAGTGCTGATGTGACAGGTGATATGTAAGGATTATAGGGTAAGTGCAGTGTGCAGCAATCTTAATTCTAATAAAGTGCTTCTGGGACTTGTTATTGGAGTTTCCTATTCTGGAAAGGCACATCGGAACAGCCAGGTCTTCAAGTTCTTTCTAAAGACTGCCCGCCAATGTAGGGGCCTGTCTAAGATCTTTGGGGAGGGTGTTCCAGAGTTGGGGGGCCACCACAGAAAAGGCCCTGTCTCGCGTCCCCACCAAGCGCGCCTGCGACGCAGGCGGAATCACGAGCAGGGCCTCTCCGGGTGAACGAAGTGAGTTCATAAACGTGGGTTCATAAACGGAGATGCGGTCATGCAGGTAGGATGGTCCCAAACCGTTTAGGGCTTTGTAGGTAAGCACCTGCACCTTAAATTGGGCTCGGAAAATAAACGGCAGCCAATGGAGCTCCCTAAACAGGAGGGTTGACCTCTCTCTGTAAGGAGCACCAGTTGGACCAGTTGGAATTTCCGAGCCATTTTCAAGGGCAGCCCCACGTAGAGCGCATTACAGTAGTCCAATCTATGTCTTTGAATACTTACATAAAACTGTAATTTCAGATAAGACTGTCCAACTCTGATTAAACCATTATTCTTTTGCGGTCACGCAGGTAGGATGGTCCCAAACCGTTTAGGGCTTTGATTGTTTCCTGTCTGGAATTCCCCTGTTTTCAAAGTGTTGTTCTTTCTTTACTGTCCTGATTTAGAGTTTTTTAAATACTGGTCACCAGATTTTATTCATTTTCATGGTTTCCTCCTTTCTGTTGAACTGTCAGGTGCTCGGCTATGGCTGACTTCTCTTGAGTTCGTCTGCAGTGGCTTTCGTGTTCCTTGATTTGTGTTTGTAAATAAAGAGCAACACTCAGAAACAGGGGAATTCCAGACAGGAAATAATCAGGGCCAGCTAACACCTCCCAACAAAGGATTCCCTCAGGCAGGAAGCTGCCAGACCTTGAAGCTGAAAGGCTTCACAATGCTAATCAAGGTGATTAATTGCAACATTCACATTTGCCTCCAACAGACAAGACTTCTTTCTCCCAACCTGGACATTATTCCACAGATATATAAACCTCACTTGCCTAGTTTCCAACAGACCTCACAACCTCTGAGGATGCTTGCCATAGATGTGGGCGAAACATCAGGAGAAAATGCTTCTGAACATGGCCAGAGAGCCCGGAAAACTCACAGCAATACAATGTAAAATGTGAGAGAATTGCTTTCATCTTCCTGAGCATCAGAGATTTGGCTATATAATCCTCATCAAATACACTGCCCATCACACCGAGGGTCACAGCGGGCTTTGTGGATATCCCCCTCCCCCCAGTGAAAATAGAAGCAAAGCAGTGCTTGAAAACTCATGGCTAGATTTTAATGGCTTTCTGAATGACATTTCAGGTTGTAAATTTTCCACAATATTCAGAAATGTGATATGGTAGGAAATTAAGAGCCTAGAGATCCTCACTTGATATGTCCAGATAAACAAATCTGGAGAGGGAAGTAGGAAGAGAAAAATAATAATAATGGAAATCGCATTGAATAGATCAGTGTATTTTTCACACTACTCCAGGGCTATCTTGTTTAAGCTTAGGAAAATAGGCCTTTGGTGAGGGCCTCTGTTCATAGGATATCATATTCTTTGGTAGGAAGCCATGACTAAATGCCTATTACTATATGTGAAAGGTGGGGGCTTATTTGAAAAATAAAATTCCAAACGCTGAACACCAAATGTGATTGGAATGCGACTTCTGTGATTAAAAGCCCAAAAACAAAATGCTGCCCTAAGCTGGAGCTTTCTTCTGGCCGAAAAACCTTTTTAAAAGCACTCTGGCCACCACCAAACTTAAAAGCACAGTTAAGCCCTTGGCTTACTGGAAGTATCTTAGGCAAGAGTGTGTTGGATTAGCACTCAGGCTTGTGTTCTGAGGTAACACTAAAAGTTTGTTCTTTAAAATATACGCTGCCACCATAGACTCTTGATTGCTGCAGGAAACTGCTTTTAAAACTTCACCCACAGAGACACACATGAGGCAGATGTTGTGAACAACAAAACAATGATGTTTAATTAAGAGAACTTGAACAAATCAGGTATAATTCTTAGCTGTTTCAGAGTATTGACTTAAAAGCGTGTGTTTACTTTAAGCAGTTCAGACTTTGTTACACAGGAACACTTCTCTCTCCCTCCACAGAATTTACTGACAGGATGATCTCCGCAGAGAGCTCGACAGGGGGAGTGTGTCCCTGTTGGTTCTCCTGGACCTCTCAGCAGCCTTCGATACCGTAAACCACGGTATCCTTCTGGGGCGCCTTGCAGGGATGGGTCTTGGAGGTACTGTTCTGCAGTGGCTCCAGTCCTTCCTGGAGGGTCTTACCCACAAGGTGTTGTTGGGGGACGCCTGCTCGCCCCCACAGCCATTGTCCTGTGGGGTCCCGCAGGGCTCAGTATTGTCCCCCATGTTGTTTAACATCTACATTTAGCTGCTGGGTGAGATCATCTAGAGTTTTGGATTTCGATGCCATCTGTACACAGATGACGTCCAACTCTATCACTCATTTCCACCAGATGCTAAGGAGGCTGTCCAAGTCCTGAACCAGTGCCTGGCCGCTGTGACGGTCTGGATGAAGGCAAGCAAATTGATGTTGAATCCAGACAAGACAGAGGTCTTCCTGGTCAGTCGCAAGGCCGAACAGGGTATAGGATCGCAACCTGTGCTGGATGGGGTCACACTCCCCTTGAAGGCACAGGTTCGCAGCTTGGGAGTTCTCCTGGATTCATCACTGAGCCTGGAATCCCAGGTTGCAGTGGTGGCCAGGGGAACATTCGCACAATTAAAACTTGTGTGCCAGCTGCGCCCGTACCTTGGGAAGTCAGACTTGGCCACGGTGGTCCACTCTCTCGTTACATCTAGGATAGACTACTGCAATGCACTCTACGTGCCTTTGAAGACTGCTCGGAAGCTTCAAATAGTCCAATGAGAGGCAGCCAGGTTAATAACTGGGGCGGCATACAGGGAGCATACAACTCCCGTGTTACGCCAGCTCCACTGGCTGCCAGTTTGCTACCGGGCAGAATTCAAAGTGCTGGCTTTGGCCTATAAAGCCCTAAACAGCCCCGGCCAAAAGTACCTGTCCGAATGCATCTCCACCTATGAACCATCACGGAGATTAAGATCCTCCAGGGAGGCCCTGCTTTCCGTCCCGCCATTGTCACAGGCGCGATTGGTGGGGACGAGAGACAGGGTCTTCTCGGTGATTGCTCCCCAGCTATGGAACTCCCTTCCTGGTGAGATCAGGTCGACCCCCTCCCTCCTGTCCTTTAGAAGGATGGTAAAAACTTGGCTGTGGGACCAAGCTTTTGGGACAGGGCAATGAAGCAGCAGTGGGAAAGATGACAGGGCCAGTTGGATTTGATGCGGATGGCTAGGACGGTTTTAAATGGTGTATTTTAATATTTTGATAAATGTTTTGTAATGTTTATGTATTGTATGTGAATTTGTGTCCCGGCATTGAATGTTTGCCGTGTATATGCTGTGCTCCGCCCTGAGTCCCCTTCGGGGTGAGAAGGGCAAAATATACATGTTTTAAATAAATAAATAAATAAATAAATAAATATCTGAAAGTAATTCAAAACTCATCTACAGATAGTCCTACCCTGGATCTATCTATCCACTCCTCCACCAGCTATCTACCGAATAGCTGTAAAAAGCTTTTCACTAGCTATCTGTGACCAAAATTTGTCAATGCCTAATATATACAGTATGTATGTATAAGCTGACCTCATGTACAAGTCGACGGCAGGTTTGAGGGATATGTCCCATGGATTCCATGGAGAGGTTGAAAGCACCAGTGCCGCCTCGGGTTCAGCCTCTGTTTCCCATCCCAGGCATTCACAGAGGCCAGAAATGTACACCTGACCTCAGGCATCAACCATTGTGTAGTGCTTTTCCTATTATTCTTGTTCAAGGATGCTGTATTGCTAGTCCAAATTAGCTCTCCCTTCCATGTATTCCTTTCACATTTGGTACTACTTTAGCTTTGGCAAAGGGGACACAGCAACGGGCATGTTCACTGTCTCCGCTTCCTTCACAGACAGTGTTACTGAAAAGATTGCTATCTTTAGTACAAATATATTTTCAAAACTCAGTTCCCCGCTGCTTGTAACTTAGCTCCAGTTGTGATAGTTCTGTGCTGTAAATGGCTTCCTTATCCAGCAGAGGGCGCACAAGGTTAACCCAAGAGTAGCGTTCTGTGCTGGATATAATACAGCATACCATATGTACTCAAGTATAAGCCAACCGAATATAAGCCAAGACACCTAATTTTACCACAAAAAATTGGGAAAACATATTGACTCGAGTTTAAGCCAAGGGTGGAAAATGCAGCAGCTACTGGGAAAATTCAAAATAAAAATAGATACCAATAAAATTACATTAATTGAGGCATCAGTAGATTTATTATTTTTTTATTATTATTATTATTATTGTTATTGTTATTATTATTATCTTTATTTGTACCCCGCTAGCATCTCCCGAAGGACTCGATGCGGCTTACAAAGGCCAAGGCCTCAAAACACAACATAACAATACACAACCTAAAGCAAATTAAAAACAGTTAAAGCAATATTAAACAACAAGCAATAAACAATACACCAAGACACAATAAAACTGGGCCAGAGTAATGGGTACAGGATTAAAAGCGCTGATGTGACAGATGATATGTAAGGATTTCAGGGCAAGTGCAGTGTGCAGCAATCTTAATTCTAATAAAGTGCTTCTGGGACTTGTTGTTGGAGTTGTCCCATTCTGGAAAGGCACATCGGAACAGCCAGGTCTTCAAGTTCTTTCTAAAGACTTCCAACGTAAGGGCCTGTGTAAGATCTTTGGAGGAAGGTGTTCCAGAGTTGGGGGGCCACCACAGAAAAGGCCCTGTCTCGCGTCCCCACCAAACGCGTCTGCGACGCAGGCGGAATCACGAGCAGGGTCTCTCCGGATGAACGAAGTGAGCGAGTGGGTTCATAAACGGAGATGCGGTCACGCAGGTAGGATGGTCCCAAACTGTTTAGGGCTTTGTAGGTAAGCACCTGCCCCTTAAATTGGGCTCGGAAAATAAACGGCAGCCAGTGGAGCTCCCTAAACAGGAGGGTTGACCGCTCTCTGTAAGGAGCACCAGTTAACATCCTGGCCGCTGCCCGTTGGACCAGTTGAAATTTACGAGCCGTTTTCAAGGGCAGCCCCACGTAGAGCGCATTACAGTAGTCCAATCTATGTCTTTGAATATTTACATAAAACTGTAATTTCAGATAAGACTGTCCAACTCTGATTAAACCATTATTCTAACCTTCTTCGATGTCAGTGTGCTTATGTATCTTTCCAATAATAATAAAGAGAGTAAAATCATAAATGTAATAAAACTGATAATAATAGAGTAAAATAATGGAAATGTAAAAATATCAGTACTGATAGTGTAAAATGTAATAATAATAATAATAATAATAATAATAATAATAATAATAATAATAATAATAATAATAATAATAGAGTAAAATAATAAATGTCATAATAACAATAATAAATAGAGTAAAATAATAAATTTATTGTTGAAGGCCTTTCACTGGGTTACTGTGCTTTTTCTGAGTTGTATGGCGATGTTCCAGAAGCATTCTCTCCTAATGTTTCACCCACATGTATGGCATATATAAACCTCACTTACTCAGTTTCCAACAGACCTCTCAACCTCTGAGGATGCCTGCCATAGATGCAGGTGAAACGTCAGGAGAGAACGCTTCTGGAACATGGCCAGACAGCATGGAAAACTCACAGCAACCCAAAATAATAAATGTAATAATAATAGAGAAAAATAATAACTGTAATAATAATAATAATAGAATAATGTAAATGTAATAATATTAAATAGAGAAAAATAATAAATGCAATAAAAATAATAACAGAGTAAAATAATGTAAATGTAATAATAATAATAATAATAATAATAATAATAAATAGATTAAAATAATACATGTAATAAAAACAATAACAGAGTAAAATAATAAATAAGTTCAACTTGAGTATAAGCCGAGGGAGGCTTTTTCAGCCTAAAAAAAGGGCTTATACTTGAGTATATATGGTATATTAGTGTATTTAGGCATTTGCTGGTTTTGCGTCGATCAGATAGATCTGTGAGGGGATTGTTTTGTCTGTCATGGTTCTCATTGGTTGTCAGCTGGCACTGGATGACATTGTTCTCGTTCTTGTTTTTGTTTAACATTGCAGGGCAAATCATTCAAAAAGATCAGGAAATCAAGGACCTAAAACAGAAGATCGCTGAAGTCATGGCAGTCATGCCCAGCATAACGTACACTGCAGCCACCAGCACGCTGAGTCCCGTTTCCCCACATTATTCTTCCAAATTTGTGGAGACCAGCCCATCTGGACTTGATCCCAACGCCTCAGTTTATCAACCCCTGAAGAAGTAAAAAAAAAAAAAAAAAAAAAAGCCGCCACCTTTTCCGTTGGTCGACGCAGAAAGGCGGCATCACACAGAAAAATCTCTTGCAGTCAAGATGACAAAATCGTATTGTGTTGGGACTGTGTACCAATTTATCGTTCGGGAAAAAATTGAAAAATAAAAAGAGGGAAAGTGGGGAGACAGAACCCCAACACCAAGGTTTGGCTAGAACTGCCCATCTGTTTTTTTTCTTGTAAATTTTTAGAAAACCTCACAGAACCTTTAACAGTTTTTTGTTTTTTTTCTTGGCCAACACATTAAGGGGAAAACAGCCCACGACGCTTGGTTTTCGCATTGCAAATTCTGCCTCTCACTTTTTTTTTTGAAAAATATATACACTCTTGCAAGGTTTCCTCTTGGAAAGAGTAAAACAACATGGCACTATGTTTGACTCTAAGCCAGGCATGAGCAAATTTGGGCCCTCTGGGTGTTTTAGACTCCAACTCCCATCATTCCTAACAGCCTCAGGCCCCTTCCTTTTCCCCCTCACCCACTTAAGCTAGATGATAGAGTGATAGACCTAAGAGAGGCCTACCTTCATGTCCCAATAAATAGATAGATATAATGGTTAAACGGCTGAGGAGGAAAAGGAAGGGGCCTGAGGCTGTTAGGAATGATGGGAGTTGGAGTCCACAACACTTGGGGAGCACCAAAGTTGATCCATGCCTGTTCTAAACCCTTTTGTTTTCGATTTGGTTTTCGTCACATAATGGAGCCGAAAATGGCAAATTTAAAAATGGCAAAGGAATAATGATGCAAAAATCTAAGTTTGTTTATATAAGGGTTTGCAATCAAACAAAGGCCATATGGTGGGAGGAGGAAGAGGAATGTGTATAAGGAACCAGTTTGCTTTTACCCCTCTAAGGACCAAACATGTTGAAAAGTAGGCATCTTTTTAAGGGAAGGCATAATTGGGGGCCGACAAGTGCATGCCACATTGGTGATTGAAATGTTTCCCATCAGTCCAAGCCTGGACAATTAGTGCCCCTCCACGCGTTTGGGACTCCAGCTCCCAGAAATACTGGCCATTAAACAAGCTGGCTAAGGCTTCTGGGAGTTAGAGCCCCCCAAAAAAACCCAAGAGGGCTGCAGGTTGGAAGAGGCCTGCATTTGTCTGCTCAGCCCAGAGCATGAACAACAATTTCATGCAACCTTGGTGATTGAAATGTTTCGATTCCCATTCGTCCAGGTCTGCACGATCAGTGGCCCTCTCCAGGCCCTCTCCAGGCATTTGGGACTCCAGCTCCCAGAATTCCTGGCTATTGAATAAATTGGCTAAGGCTTCTGGGAGTTGGAGGCCCAAAAATACCTAGAGGCCTGCATTCGTCTGCTCAGCCCAGATCAAGAACAACAATTTCATGCGACCTTGTTGATTTAAATGTTTCTATTCCCATCAGTCCGAGCCATTTGGGACTTCAACTCCCAGAATTCCTGGCCATTGTACAAGCTAGCTAAGTGTATTGTTGAAGGCTTTTATGGCTGGAATCACTGGGTTGTTGTGAGTTTTCCGAGCTGTCTGGCCATGTTCCAGAAGCATTCTCTCCAGACGTTTTGCCTGCATCTCTGGCAGGCATCCTCAGAGGTTGTGAGGTCTGTTGGAAACTAGGAAAATGGAGTTTATGTATCTGTGGAATGTCCGGGGGGGCAGAAAGAACTCTTGTCTGTTTGAGGTAGATCTGTTTGAGGTATAGTCACACTTGTCTCCAACAGACAAAGAGTTCTTTCTGCCAGCCTTGACATTCCAAAGATAGATAAACTCCATTTTTCTAGTTTCTAACAGCCTCACAGCCTCTGAGGATGCCTGCCACAGGCGAAACGTCAGGAGATAATGCTTCTGGAACATGGCCAGACAGCCCGGAAAACTCACAACAACCCAAGCTAGCTAAGGCTTCTTGAAGTTGGAGGCCCAAAAAAATCCTGGAGAGCTACAGGTTGGAAGAGGTCTGTGTTCATCTGTTCAGCATCAGCAACAATTGCATGCAGCCTCGGTGATTGAAATGTTTTGATTCCCATTTGTCCAGACCTGAATGAGCAGTGGTCCTCCAGGTATTTGGGACTCCAGCTCCCAGTATTCCTGGCTATTGAACAAGCTGGCTAAGTCTTCTGGGAGTTGGAGGCCCAAAGAAACCTGGAAGGCTGCAGGTTGGAAGAGGCCTGCGTTGGTTTGTTCAACCCAGAGCAGGAACAACAATTGTATGCGGCGTTGGTGATTGAAATGTTTGAATTCCTATTAGTCCAGACCTGGATGATCGGTGGCGCTTCAGGTGTTTGGGACTTCATCTCCCATAATTTCTGGCGGTTGAACAAGCTGGCTAAGGCTTCTGGGAGATAGAAGCCCACAAATACCTGGAGGGCTGCAGGTTGGAAGAGGTCTGCATTCATATGTTCAGCACTGAGCACAAAAAACAATTGCATGTGACCTTCCTGATTGAAATGTTTCCGTTCCCATTCGTCCAGGCCCAGACGATCGATGGCCCTTCAGGTGTTTGGGACTACATCTCCCAGAATTCCTGGCCGATGAACAAGGTGGGAGTTTTGGGGCCCAAAAAACTCTGGAGGGCTGTAGGTTGGAAGAGGTCTGCATTCATATGTTCAGCACTGAGCACGAAAAACAACTGCATGTGACCTGCCTGATTGAAATGTTTCAATTCCCATTCGTCCAGGCCCAGACAATCGATGGGACTTCATCTCCCAAAATTCCTGGTCATTGAACAAGGTGGGAGTTGGGTGGCCCAAAAAAAAACCTGGAGGGCTGCAGGTTGGAAAAGGTTTGCCTTCGTCTGTTCAGTTCAGAGCATGAAAAAGTTCCTTTTTGTATTACGGTTCTCAGCATCCCCAGCCATCGAGGCCATTGCCGACATTGGTGGGAGACGAAAGGGAACAGTGTTCAAACAAGAATCTTTTCCAAGCTCTGCTTGAGTCAGAACTGCTCACGGTCTTGTTCAAGAGTGCCTTGGAAAAAGACATTTCAAGAGGAATCTTCATTGTTTGAAGACTTTTCTTCCCCCTTTCTCCATCACTCAGCTTATAACATTGAGCTCATTTTACAGAGTCTACTGCAGATCTTAAGTGGTAATTTGGATGCCCGTTCTAGTTACTACAGATCTTAAGTGGTAATTTGGATGCCCGTTGTAGTCCAGAGTTACATCTCTCTTTTTTGTGTGTTTGTTTGGGTGACGAAACCTGACAGTGTTCACTAGGGAAAGATGTCCTGCAGAGGGGGGGCTCCGGAGGTGTGGAGAGAGCATTCCAGAAAAGGCGGAACCATGCAATGTACTGTCTACAAGGGACTGCCAAGCTTGACCAGAAAGCGGCAGTTTGGAAGTTTGGGTTTATTTCGGAGTCAACTGTAATTAACGCTTTAATATCATCTTGTGTTTGGTAATTTAATTTCAGAGAGGCTGACTGAATCTCAGCCATTGTGCCAAGGAGGGTTTAAGAAAAAAAAACTCATAAAATTGCACAGAGATTTAAGTTTAAGTGTGTATTGTGCATTGGTAGGAAAGTGTGTTGCACCGGCGACTTTCAAAGTGTTTAAGGTTTGGGCGCGGGTGGGAGGGGGCCGTGGGCCGGGATGCAAAAAAAGTGTATTAGTAACTAGCAAAATTAATAAACGCAAACCATTATGATTTTCAAACATGCAGTAGACTCTGGGAGGACGCGGTCCTTCTTTGGAAACAACCACACTTTTTAAAGTTTTGTCTCAATTGGCAGAATATGCCTTTGTTTAAACAAAAATTAAGTAGGACGAGCAAGTCAATTAAAAAAATAGGAGTATTAAAGATCCATCATTTTAATCAGAGATTCTTTTGAGATTAAAAAAAAAAAGTCTAGCTTTAGCCAGGTGTGCATGTTGCTGTCATTTTGCATTTTTGAATCATCTTGTGTAATTGTCACCATGAAAGTGTTACTCAGAAATGTCATAGGTTTTCATCTTTGTGAAAAAAAAAAACATGGACTATTGTCACTGACTTTCTTTTGTGTTGAGGTTCCCCCATTTTTTTATTTTATTTTTTACTTTTTATGGTTTGGCTGCCTTTGGGGCACTCCTTTCATTGAAATACTTGGTCTTGGCTGCATTCTTTTTTTTCTGTGGGGTTTACAAAAAAAATAAACATTTTCTTGCAGATAAAGCTGCCTTCTGTTTTGTTTTAGGGTGCCTAGTGCATTGTTGTGGCCTGAACCGTTACTCCAGAGACCAGGGTTTCAGTCTCTGCACAGCTGTAAAACCACGCTGAGTAGCTTGGGGAAGTCACGCTCTCTCAGCCTCCGAGGAGAACAATGGCAAACCCCCTATGAATAAGTCTTGCTCAGAAAACTCCCATGACAGGTTTGCTTTAGGGTCACTATAATTTGAAAACAACCTAGGGGCACACACAAAGCATCAGCAAAAATATGTAAATTTTGTCAGCACGCTTTTTAAAAGAAATATATTTGTTAAAAGCAGATCTGCACAATAATAATAATAATAATAATAATAATAATAATAAGAAGAAGAAGAAGAAGAAGAAGAAGACTTTATTTATATTCCACCCTATCTCCCCAAAGGGACTCAGGGTGGATCATAGTACATATACATGGCAAGCATTCAATGCCTTTTTGGATAGACAATACAGAGACAGACAGACAGAACAGAAAGGAAGTATGTTGTGTCGACGTCCAGCTTTTTGGCGCCTTAAACAGTTGTGCCCAAATCCAGCCACAGGGGGGTTCTGTCGCTCCATCCTCTATGACGAAGAGCCATCAGGACTTCCTCCTCCCTTTTGGTCACTGGGCATTTTCTAATTTTTTTTCTTTATGATGTCGTAGAATACCTCCCCCGCTTGCTTTAGCAGTACCTAATTTCACTACTTACTGCTCAAGCTGTTTTCGAACTGCTTTGGTCCACAGTAAGTTGGGCTGACAGTCAGCAGCTCACGCTGACTTGGGGCTTTGAACTGGTAGATCTTATCAATTGCTGGTGATTCACCAGCTGTGCTAAAGCCCGGCCCTAACATTCAATTTTGTGTAGCCCGAAGAGGCTCTATGCCTAAGCCTTAGACCAGTGGTTCTCAACCTGGGGTCCACAGATGTTTTTGGCCTTCAACTCCCAGAAATCCTAACAGCTGGTAAATTGGCTGGGATTTCTGGGAGTTGTAGGCCAAAAACATCTGGGGACCCCAGATAGAGAACCACTGCCTTAGACAGAGAGGTCACATGAAGCAATATAGCAGAATAGTCATCAGAACCTACCATTCCCCCCTCCAAGTGTTTTGCCTCTACACGCTTCCTTTCTCTATGCACCAAAGTTACCAAAGCAACTTCGCTACACCACTCTTTCTTTTTGTTTG